CGGTTGTATAAAAACGTAGTTAGCGCTAACTGCAGTTAGTTAAAAAGTAGTTAAAAAGTGGTTAACTTTAATCACGTAGTTAAGCCGGTTGTATAAAAGTGTAGTTAGCCTTAACTGCAGTTAAAAAGTAGTTAAAGTTAACTATGCTTTAGGGTATAGTTAACTGTCCAAAACGTAGTTAAAAATGGCGTTTGTATAGGAGTGGACAACATTTTTTAGTAAAACAATAATGAAAAGCAACGCTTACCTGAGATTTTCAATCGCTATCTTCCCTGTGAATGTTTCCTGACAATATAAACTCTTCAAATGCTATCGCTTTGGTGTTTTTACGAAAACAGAACATATTTTTGCACAGGAGGATTTCTCGAAGAAGAAGTATGGTCCATTACACCAAGAAACACTGATATATAATTGCCAAACAGCTATGCCTTGGTTTAACGTAGACATCTCAAGGAAAAACTGCATTCTTTTACGATTTTTGTGGCGGTTTTTCTTTATTTTTTTGGGTTTTTTTTCACTGTTTTCTAGTGTTTTGAATAAAATTCCCGCCTATTTGCAAAATACGAGTCCACAATCGTGTTGAAAATGTGTGTCAGCGGTCGTTACTCGCTGCTTACTTTATGTAATTTTGTGTTTAAACGCCCCACGCAAGCCCCACGCACAGTTAACTACGTGATTAGTTAACTATCCGACTAACTACGTTTTGTGCAACGCAGTTAAGTCATGTAGTTAACTAATTACAGTTAAGGATTTAACTACAGTGATTAACGCTAACTACAGTTAGCGCTAATTACGTTTTTATACAACCGGCCCCTGATATTTAACAGTACAGACCTCACGCTCGGTCAATAAGCCGTTATTATTTCGTGGCGAGTATTATGGTCCCAGAGTAGGCCAGCCCTTACCGCACTTCATGGTTCTTTTATGCGGGGTTTTACTGTATACGCTCAAGCTACGGCGCTATCATGCAGACTGCAAGTACGGCCCTGGAATCGCCTTCCCCGGCAACGGCGTCAAAAATTGGCGCAGAGCCCAGCGTCTCTCTATACGGCAATTTTCGTCAGTTCTACGGCATTTTTTATGTAATATGTCATATGCATTGTGGGTGACACCTCAGTTGTGGTAGAAAATCATTTTCTGTACTTCTTCTGCGTTTAGATATTTCAATATTTATTACGATTACACATAAACTACAAAACATTTTATGAGTAACATTACAACATCTACAGGTCCTACAGGCTACACAGAGAAAAATCATTACATAATTTTCTGTATACTGATAACACCAATTCCCCCCAAAATTACATTAGTCATTACAGCTAAACTAACTCCCATAGTGGTCCACGGCATTTTCCTCTCGAACTACGGCAATATTGCCGCGAGTACCGTGATAAAATATCAGCCCTGCTACAATATTGCTTTCAATAATATCATTATTATCATACCTAATTTGCTGACAATTTGCATACATTTTTAGGCCGATTTACACTACGGGAGTTTCTACAAGAAAAGTGCCATTATAAAATATTAAGGTGACTTAAGTCATTTAATAAAAATTGGGTCTCTGAAAGAGGTTTACATTACGTGATTCACAATTTTGGATTATCCAAATCACAGAATAGAGACAAACAGAAGGTCGCCACGCCATAATTTGCAATGGTTCGTTATCAAAATGCTGTCGCCATGGTCCTATATACCATGCACGATATATCTTCCTGTACTCACAACTAGGGATGGGCGATACTAGCTTTTTCATTCGATACGATATTACTCGATATTTGCCATTTTTTTTCGATATCGATATTGGTATATCGATATTTTCCCAACTCGAACAACCAGAACAACAAAAGACTATTTTCATCTCTTCGACGCCAAAATCATGCTGGTTGAATACGTTTTCAACACGTTTATTCTCATGATTGTAACTAACATAACCACGAACTCTGTATTTACGCCTATTTAGGCTTTTTGGGTATCATTGTCATGATGAGTCCGCTGAGCAAAATAAAAAATATCGCAGGCTCAGAAATATCGAAACAATCGATATTTCTTCCCAGTATCGATACTTTTCTTCAAAACCCTGGTATCGATAGTATCGAGCATTTGGTATCGATATCGGCCCATCCCTACTTACAACCGAAAAATTGTGACCGTTCACAGGCGGTCACTGGTTACATTCATCCACGCATGCGCACAGAAAGGAGCTAAACGTACTGAAATGAGACTGATAAATACAATCACCCCTCAGTCACACTGAGTCACACATAGTAACTGTTCTGTCCCCTCCCCCGGTTCACCAAGTAGTTACGTCATTTCGCGCCATTTTGCTCGTTATCGAGCTGTCATTGGCTCCAGTTTTACTTACAGGGGGCGTCCATTTTCATGTGTAATGTCGCTCAATTCGAGCACACTTTTTTTACCTACTTGTTATAAGTTTATCAGAATAAACGCAAAATACAGTTGGTTACACTGCTGATGAAGGGTCCCAAATATTTTACGAGGTCCGAAGGATCGGAACAGTGAAAAACGTGTGTCGTAGTACAGCGTAAAAATACGACGAAATTGAGGGGTTTTGCGAAGCTATATCGTGGCGTCAAGTTGGGGAAATAATGTCTCCTAGTATGAATTCTATCACTACAAACGACGATCTGGCCGTAACAGGCGCCGAACTTGAATAACAAAATAAAGATAAACAGCCTTCTGATATGCCCAAGGTTGGAGAAAGTATAAACACAGTGCAAACTAGCAAAAACCCCAGAAAATACCAACATCCAGAAGGGGGGGGACATTGGGCACGATATTCCTGGGGAAAATATTGATATTACCGAAAGTGTTATAACAGATAAAGAGGCCGCTGAAAGGCTTAAACGAAAGACTAAACCATCAACGAAATCTATCGAGAACCGGATCCAATCGCGATATTGCAGCTGGTACGTTCGAATTTCAATATTTACCACGAGACATGGTTATCATTTGCAGACTTCCTTGCACATTCTGGCACACCCCAGTGCCTCCGAGAGCGTGAGCGAATGGAGGGCATCATTAACAATCATAAACAATTTGTGCATGGAAATATAACTCAGGGGAATCGACGTAAGGAAGAAATTATGTCAGAAATGCGGTCATTACGTTCTAGTTCTGGATTTCGTGCGTCTTCCATGTCATCCACCGCTCTTTGAGCGCGCGCCCGAGCCGAAGCTGCTGCAGCAATAACAAAAGCTGAGTTGCAGAAAAAACGACTGCTTGTATAATCTCGGTCAGCGTTCGTGATACAACAAGAGGAATTGGCTCTAGCTAGACATAAACTAGATGAACTGGCCCGGTTAGAAGCCCTAGGCCTTGAGGAGACAGGCTGCGGCAGCTGATACAGATACAGATATTTCACAGCACACTCCCTATATCAGGGCTTTTCAGTGACTGGTTACATTATGAATAGATAGATAGAACCGGACTGACGTGAAGCAGACCGAGGTAGGCTTTGAGCTTACAAATGGCGCTTAAGCAGCCGCTATTAGTCCATACCTCATTAATGATCTGCCTCCAGAGTCCAGACCTAGCTACAGTAGCTAAGGCCAACGCCATTGATGATGAATTGGATTTCGGCACTGGTGGTGAACTACCCCATTTAGACCTACCTGAAGAAAACTCTAGCCAAAAGGTACAGCATTTTATTGAAAATCAGTGCATTGACCCAACTCCTAACACCCAAGTTGCTCCCTCGAGTACCCCTAATCAGCTTAATCCATCAAGAGCATGTCAACCCCAACCCTCAACACTCACTTCCAGCTCAACATGCACCTACACCCCAACTCTTGAATCCTACAATCCTTAATGAAGTCCTGCATTGAATTTATGGCCGGTCGAGAACTCATTGACAACAAAATCGAGAAGTTCGATAAGAACCCTGAATATTTCCACACTTGGAAACTGTCATTTAAGAATATGACAAGGAATATAAACATTACTCCTAGTGAAGAGCTTTCTCTAATTATTGAGTACACTACAAATGAATCGAAAAAACTCGTTCAAAAACTGCGTAATGCATATATTGAAAACCCGGAAAAGGGAGTGGCAGAAGTGTGGACAAAATTAGGTGAAAGATATTGGTCCAATGTCGTATTGACCAAGGCGTATGTAGATAAACTGAAATAAATCTACACTATCCCAATTGCTACTATGTTTTAATGACTGGGCTAAATCTAGAGACGAAGCTACTCCTACTGATGTTGTAATTATGGACTTTTGTAAAGTTTTTGACAGTGTGCCACACGAGCGCTTATTATACGAATTGAAACAACACGGTATCGGTGGAGCACTGCTCGATTGGTTGAGATACTTTCTCACGGACCGCAATCAACGTGTTATCGTACGTGGCTCGCAGTCAAACTGGTCCCCCGTTAAACCCAGGGAACAATCTTAGGTCCAATTTTGTTCCTCATTTATATAAACGATCTACCCTTGGAAATTCAAAGCTCGACTAAGCTCTTCGCAGATGACACAACAATTTACCGAAAATTTGTAGACAAAGTTGCCGATACTAGTATTTTACAATCTGATTTAAACTGTATGAGAAATTGGACTGAAAACATGCAACTAAACTTCAACTTTGAGAAATGCGAAGTAATGCGAATAACACACTCAAAAGACCTCTCTCTACCCGAATACTATCTATCACATAACGTAGCTTGGTTATCCCATGTCCATAATATTACTAGTAAAGCAAACCGTATGCTAGGTCTGGTTAAGCGGACCGTCGGATCATCTAACTTAGTAACATTCACTTTATTGTACAAAGCCTTGGTTAGACCTATATTGGAATATTCCGCACCAGTCTGGTCGCCACACTTATCCAAGGATATCAAGGCTCTCGAATACGTTCAGAGAAGAGCATCGCGGATAGCACTTAAACAGAAGCGGGGAGAGATGTCCTACCCAGATCGTTGTGTCTTACTAAAATGGAATACTTTGGAAAAACGCAGAGAGTATTTATCTCTCATAGAGTGCTATAAAACAGTTTTTGGCCTAAATGGTATAAACTTCGATGAAGTTTTTGAATTTAAGAAATCGAGGAAAACCAGAGCAAATCACAAATATTCACTATACACCAAGCTTTCTACAGTCAACTCTTATAAGTATTCTTTTTTTGTCAGAATAGTCACTGCATGGAACGCTTTGCCTCTGAACGTTGTCGAAGCGAATAGTTTTCATAGTTTTAAGCAGGAACTCAAGCGCCACAAGAATATTTACTAATTTACTAATTTACAAATACGTCTATCTTAGTTTACTAATACACTCATTAATGTATACACTATTAACTCTTTTTATCGCTACTAATCTCTTCTAAGAGAGTTCTTATATAGGGTTAACCTTCCGATCCTCCTGCAAGGACCTACATCCTGTATATAGCTCGTACGTATCTTGATTAAACATTTTGATTGATTGATTGATTGATCGATTGATTGATTGATTGATCGAAACTTCCCTAAGATTGGGTTTAAAAACAATAAGAAATTGCAAGAATTTGGTGACCTTCTATTAGAGCTACAATGCGCAAAGGAGGACGGTCGACTCCAGGGACTAAGAATCCTCGATAAACCCATCTACCTGAAACCAGTACTAACCAAATTACCTGGGGATATCAAAAGTAGGTGGGTGGCAAAGACATGCCTTTTCCTACAAGAGAAACCATGATGTTGATTACCCACCATTCGCAGAGTTTTCTAAGTTTATCCAAGATGTATCACTCGAGAAGAATGACCCGAACCTGGCCTTCGAGCAGTAGTAGTAGTAGCATTTATTAGCCAATCCTCAAAAGGTCTTTTCAGTGAACTATTACAAGTTTGAATCATTACTTAATCTTATGGTTACTATTTTTACAAAATTATTCCAGTTTGTGAACATGCTATATAATATATTAAAATGCTAAATAAGTTCTACTATATTTAAAATCAGGAATCTAGAAATTTGTTCAATAAAATTGTCTTAAATTGTTTTTTAAAAATTGACAGGTTTTCCTTTTGGATGTTATTTTCAATGCTATAGTTCCACAGATTAATAGCTCTGACTAAAAAGGATCGCTGTCCTGTGCTTGTTCTGCAGAGTTGTTGTTTTATCTTGCCAGATGATTGAAATCTGGTATTGTATCGTTGTGTTTGCTCACACATGTTTATAATCTTGAAACACGGATAGGACGGTGCTTGACCGTTCATACATTTATAAGTCATGATCGCGTCATTTAATACCAACTTATCAGATACTGGAAGCCATTTCAGAGCTTTCAACGTAGGAGTTATGTGTTCAAATTTCTTATTGTCCACAATACTAGCAGCAAAATTCTGTAATTGCTGTAATTTGGCAACATTTCTTTTGGTTGTGTTTGACCAAACAGTGGAACTAAAGTATAATTTGCTGAAGACTAGTGAGTTGAGAATAGCTTCAATGTGTTCTTTGTTGAACAAATGCCTAAGTCTAGAAATCTGACATAATGAATAATTGCAAGATTTGCAACATTTTACCACATTTATGTGCTCGTCAAAGGTGAGTTCTCGATCCAAGGTTACACCAAGATCCTTTACTGACTTGGATGGTATAAGAATCTCTCCCAGAAACTGGATGGACAAATCATCTGGCAGATTCTTTAAAAGTTGTCGCGTACAAAATATAATAAACTTTGTCTTTTCCGGATTTATCAATAATTTATTCCAGCAACACCATCCAGCTACGCTGTCCAAATCCCACTTTAGTTCTTTCAGACCATTGTCCAAATTATTCCAATTCACAGACATAAACAACTTGTTATCGTCAACATACGACTCCGTATTTGCAGATTTGGGTATAGTTGGTAAATCATTGACATACATACTAAAAAGAAGAGGCCCCAATATTGATCCTTGAGGAACTACCTGTGTTATTAATTTTGGGTCGGAGAGATGATTTTCAATTCTAACGGATTGGCATCTTTCCTCTAGATAGCTTTTAAACCATTTGATAGCTGAAATGGAGATGTCATACTTGATTAACTTCTGCAACAAAATGTCATGACTAATGCTGTCGAAGGCTTTGGATAGGTTTATGAGAACCAAATTGAATAAGCATTTGATTTTACGAAATTCAAACCTCAAAGAAAGACACAAACATTGGCTGGGTTTACAGAATGTCAACTTCGAATTTACGTACAGTTTGTTTAGTGCGTATTTCCGGCACTTCTTCATCTTTATTCAGTTTCCAAATACCCACGGCTGGAATTATAAAAGCTAGAATTATACTAAAATGTTCATTTGTTCAGCACTTGCGTCATTGTCGATAAGTTTGTTTGTTTGTTTAAATACTTTATTGGGTAAATATAATAATTATTTACAAAAGACGTACTAATACTATGCATGCAAAAAAACAAATATTACCCAAATGGAAGAGGTGCGAACGGAACGTAAATAATTTGCGCTATCCATGCAAGGCACCTTTCCAACAGAATACATGTAGATGTAGTTTACTATGTAAATACTAATAACAAGTTTATACACAGGCGGCCCATCTCTGAACGTCCTATATATTTTGAATATTTAACCGTTATAATATTTTAAAATAACAAAATAATTCAAAAAATATTAACAATATATGTAAAAAATATATCTCACTTGTTAATAGAATCCATTTGTTGTGTTTCTGAGTCTAGTTGAT